GGGGGGGGGGGGCAATACCACCCCACTTTTTACAAAAGTGACATTTATTAGACATTCTGAGGTTGAGAAAAGCCTGGATCAAGTTGACATTGCAGTGCATTGTGGACTGTTTTAGGGGACGTATTTCTAAGATGTCTATCTTGTGCCTGAAAACAGTCTGAGAATGCACTGCATTGCCAACTTGACATAGTTTAACCTTCAACCTTGTTATCACTAATTCTCTAAAGAACGACACATGTTTGAAAATGGGAAAACATTACACCCACCCAATTCACCCACTCATTTCACCCACCCATTACACCCACCTATTACACCTACCCATTACACCCACCCATTACAGTAACACCCACCCATTACAGTAACACCCACCAATTACACCCATCCATTACACCCACCCATTACACCTACCCATCACACCTACCCATTACACCCACCCATTACAGTAACACCCACCCATTAGAGTAACATCCACCCATTACACCCACCCATTACAGTAACACCCACCCATTACAGTAACACCCACCCATTACAGTAACACCCACCCATTAGAGTAACACCCACCCATTAGAGTAACATCCACCCATTACACCCACCCATTACACCCACCCATTACACCCACCCATTACACCCACCCATTACAGTAACACCCACCCATTACAGTAACACCCACCCATTACAGTAACACCCACCCATTACACCCACCCATTACACCCACCCATTACACCCACCCAAGCTCAATAGGTGTATTACAATCATGCAATATTTTGTTTGTTTGGTCTTTAAAGTACTCTCCAACTTGTTCTTTCAGTTGATAAAACTTCGTTCATGGTTGGTAGTTATGGACCTAAGAAAGAACCCCATACATTTTTAACCCCCAGTGACGAGGCCCCTAAAGGAATGTTAGCACGAGGGCACTATGTAGTAAAAAGCAAATTCATTGATGATGATAAACATGTTCATCTTGAATGGGAATGGGCATTTGATATCAAGAAAGACTGGGAATAGAGCGCTTTTTTGTCCTTTAGAACCTCTAATCACTCAGGATTCAAGATATTCCATAATTAAAGCGTATCACAGTTATGTGCTCTGCTCGGTTTTTCTTGTCTGCACAGTAAACAATTCGTAATTGTCTTTGCTTTTGTTATAATTTTGTTTATTTGGTCTTAAAACGAACGAGAGAAAACTGATGACATTTTATATGATGCGTAAGTGATTGTATTTAAAGCTATAAGTGTTTTACAAATGTTTCTCACAAATTCATCCCTAAGAGTCATTTGTTAAATGAAAACTCTTAACCAGACCTCATTAAACTTTTTATTTGATGGTATAGGTGTAGTTTCTTTATTTGATGCGATCCTCGGACGATCCAGGATTTTGAGGGCGTGGTCATATTATCACCTGGCAATGACCTCCTACACATGTTGATCCCGCATTTTTGAAAGGCATCCAGTAAACTTCTTCAGTAGATTCGCCTGTGCCATATATATGTGCATATTTGCACTGGTCCAGAGGTTTCAGTCTTTTTGGGGGGTGCAAAAAGGATATAGAAAAATGATTGGTCCGATACACACCAGGGACCATAGTTTGCATGGGTTGAGCATTGGGATATTGTGAACGAGGTCGTGTGGTTTCAAGCCCCTATAGCACCAATTTTTGATGTTAAATCACCCAAGATAGTTGCTGCCTTTGTAATCATATTTGCAAATGGGTAGACCTTGACGGCCTCTCGGTTATGCGATACTCAATCATTAGACCTCCAATGAAAATTTTGTATAAAATGATTTTTCAAAATATCGCGTTCTGATTGGTTGGGAGCGCGTGCTTTATGAGAGAACACAGCACGCGCGCGTACTTTCAGTTTCGTCATTCTTGTAATTTGTATTTTATAAAAGAAATATATAACTTGCTGTGCTGTGTGGAGTTATAAAGCGCTTGGGGATTGGCAGATCACAAGAGAAGTGTCGAGAATTAACATACTAGATTTAACAGCGTGAATGTGTGACAGGGAGACGTGGAATCGGGGCATCTGTGGCAGGGATTTTAAGTAGTCGGCATTGATTAATTTCGATGAATTGGTTCTAGCTATCATCAGATTCACTTGTAGTGTAAGGTCGTGTAAGACAGGGCAACAAATGCCACGGTGTCGAGAAGGAAGGTAGGCTTTAAAACGTGATTGCGATGGATTTAAACCACCGGATTGACTAGCCTTACACCGAATCGAACTATGGATTGCATGGGTTAAGCATAGGGCTGTTGAAATATCGAAATATGACCACTTTGAATAACCATTGCTCTGGACTCTCTAGCATCGTACACACATGGAAAAATAAAAGCGTCTCCACGTGAGCACAAGGCTAGTCAGTCCAGCCAATGGTGATTCAAAGTGGTTGCCATATTTCGATTCGGTGTAGTGAAGACCCGTACATACAGACTCCCCCTTCCCATATAAATTTCCGATTTCACGTTCCCACTCTAGATTAGACTGTTAACACCCCGGGATGTTAACAGTGCCTCTTTTCCAGCCTAGAGTCAGTCCAGTCGTTAGGCCCTGCTGCTTTGTTCGCGCGGGGAGTGGGGGTGAGGATTTCCCCCGACGGCCTCAAAACCATGCTGTGTGCAGTCCCTTTACTCAGTAAATATATGGGACTAAAACTGATTTCAGGGCCGTGCAACTAGCTGTCCATTTAATAACGAGATTTTTGTGTCTTCTCGAGGGTTTAAGGCTCAAGCCGAGTCGCTCAGTTCTTTGAGATTGAAAAAAAGGGGGTGAAATGTGAAAAATATAATTTTGTTCCTGTCTCCCAACTTGGTTCCGTGAAAGCCGTGACATCGCATGACCATCGACCATCATTTGCTATTAAAGTCCTTGGAATTCCCACTTCAGACCACGTAGTGTCATCCCCTTGAATATTATTGTTTTAACCGCAAAAGAAGACACATGATATGGATACGACTCAAACAAAGAATCTTATTCCCAAAAATAAACATTATACGCCCAACATAGCCTGAGAAAACAGACGTGGAACGAAAGGATGTCTGTTTTTTTTTTAACGTACTAATAAGCCCTATGAAGCGAGATGACGTCAGTTACCCCCTACTCTATACCATAATAGTTTYTAAAATTCTTTCATATTAAAATTTTTGATTCCTTAGAGAATACAGGAACAATAGTCATAATTAAAGAACAAAAGCAATGTGAAAAGGATTATGGTCTAGAGACGGGGGTAAAACGTCATCTCGCTTCAGGCTTATTTTTGGCCATCAAAATGAAAGTGAGCCCAGTCATTGACCTCAAACCGCTGACCTATTCTACTGCGCATGTCTGTTGTTAATCACATTCTAAAAATAGAACCAAAGGAAAGTGAACCTTGGAAAAGACGACGGTTAAATATTCACATTAGTCTCTGTTTTCTATGGCTAAAATCGAACTAAAGTAACTTCTATTTATTAGACTGACCTCCATACAGCTTCAACAACCATCATGATGGATTTTACAGCCGATATAACCAATATTTCTACCATATTTCCGCCAACAAACGTAACGACACCACAAGTCCTACAAAGTCAACAAATATTTTTTCAAACTGCAGCGGCTCGAGGAATCTCAGGACTTTTTGTTATGTTGGCTTTATTAATAACTTGTCACCAGGTAAGAGGATTCAAGTAATAATGTTGTTAAGAAAAGGGTGTAAAAACGAAGGGAAGTAGTCGAATACTCGTTAAGCACACATCGTTGAAGAAAATGACAGTTTGGAGTTTTGACTTCGAAGTTTCCAAGCTTTAAAACTTCTTTCGAATGATTTTATAAGTACATAAATACTGGACAACACTTTCTTTCTTGTTCAGTAATAAAATAAACCAAACCTCAACGGATTCCATATCTACAGCTAGAAGCCACGAGTAAAATAATGAACTTGATATATTTTTGAATCGCCTGCACAAAATACTTGAACTTGTTTAAATTTTGTTCTAAAATTTTAAGTTAGTATGTATTTATATATATCCTAGATGTCTTAACAATTTTCTGCTGTAAGCTACGTGGCAATTTAAAAGCTGAGTATCTTAGATGCATTTACATTTGTTTTGAATATATGTCGACTGTATACAATATATTGTCACAAATTGCATTGTGAAAATTTAAAATTCAAAGAGCAATATTTCAAGCAGAATAAAATATTGTCGTAAAATCATTATATCAATTTCCTTTGTTGATATTTTATGCCATTTTGTATCGTTATTGTTTTTCCAAGTTCACTGTAATATGAAGTTGTTATTTCATTTGTTCTTTTATTTTACTTTCGCTTTATATTTTATTTCTTTTTATGTGAAGATGTTTTGCTTATTGTAATTGTTGAATTGTGAATACCATTATAAAGTGTGCCAGTAGCCAAATGACAGGCCAAATTTCAGGTTTGCCAGGCAAAAATAAGGATGTGCTGCCAAATGAATAATAAAATGGCATGCAAAATTTACTGGAATGACCTCCTTTTATCATGCTCCTTTATCTTCTATGGCAGGCTAATATAAATTTCCTATTTCGAGCCCTAGTATTTTGTAAACTAYATATTGAAACACATTTTATATTACAATTATTGTCATTGGTGATATATATATCTAAAGGTTGTAATATATACAGTTATTGAATGGGGTTGAGCATAATATTGTAAATTATCAAAACCAAGGCTGTATGTGAGCCAAAGCCAAAGGCTGAGGCCGATAAAAAGGCCTAGATCTTGATAATTAACGTTAATATTATACATTGTACTCAGTATCTGAATTCCCATTGGTCAAGAACCTATCGATGATCATTCCTAGCTACTAGCATGTGCCAGCAATTTTTTCAGCAGTCAATAGTCATATCTGTAGGCAGATGGCGGTGATCTGTAGGTTATTTTTCTTGTTGTTTTTTTTACCTTTAAAAAAATATTTATTACAAATTTCATATCTTTATATTATCAGTTAATCTATTTGAACTATGACTAATAATAATTTTTTTTGAATTTTGTTACCAATATGATGTGAAAACCAAATTCAATAATATTGTTTTATTAAACATTTAAAAACTCAAGAATAAAGATGTAATTCTTCTTTTAATTTAGCAACATACATTTCAATATCTATTTTGTGACCTTTAAATGAACATGATAAATGTAATATCTGCAGGAAAACTTATACAGATATTGCATTTATTATGTCAAGTTCAAAGGAATTAGGGATTGGCTGACGGCTCTTGGCCAATGCCAAGGGAGATAGTGATCATGAGTAAGATGTATAATAATATAGGATAGTATTGTGTAAAGTCATTTGATTCACTATTCATTTGTATCACCACCTGAAAACCATACACATTTATGAGCGTGGTTTTCATAAACCCATGAAATATGTGCACTTTTGTATATTTAGCACCATTTCTACCTAATTCTATCGTGTTTATCTGACTAATATACACCTTGTTTCACAAGCTTTTGAAAACTGTACTAGAATTTACAAATTATTCCATATATTTTTATATTATGAGACAATATATTGCAACAGTACATTATGCAAACATGTACTAACATTATTTTTCTCAAATAAAATAATTCTATCAAATGACATACATTATTTTATTAGGCTGAGAAAAATATCAATCAAATGTTGGCACACAGTCGGCGATATATACCTAATATCCTACAAAGAGCAAAATTTCATACATGTATTTTGTTGTTGTTTTTTTTTCGCCTAAAACTTCCATCTTGTCTCATCACGTTGCAGCTAGCTCCCGGGGGAGGGGGGGTACTCCCATATGGAATATACTGGGATGATTCGCTGAACAAGGCATGGTTTTTCCAGCTTCTTGTCATAAACAGGGTTTGCAATTTCACTCAAGTTCCAAGTTCTTCCTGAGTTTCCTGTCATATTCAGGGGTTCTACTTGGGCGTATTGACCGAAACTGGCCATTATGATTGTCAAAAAAGGAGACAATAGAGAGCTGACACGACAATAGAAACAGGAATTCAGTGCAATTAATTATATCTTTTGTCATAAACAGGGTACCCCTTTCAGAATCATAGCAGAACACCCCTACCCATATCCTGGCAGAGTACCCCCCGGGAGCTAGCTGTTACTCCCAAGCCCTGGTTACGTTATGTATTGTGCACTAATCCTTAGATGTTACTGTGTTTACCCCCCAGATATATCAGCATCTAAGTTACTACACAAACCCAAGTGAACAGAGATGGATTGTCAGGATATTATTTATTGTTCCAATCTATGCATTTGACTCCTGGCTCAGCCTGATGTTTTTTGAGCAGTCCTACTATGTCTATTTTGATAGTATCAGAGATTGCTATGAAGGTAAATAGTTATATTAATTATTGTTCCAATATATGCATTTGACTCTTGGCTCAGCCTGATGTTTTTTGAGCAGTCCTACTATGTTTATTTTGATAGCATCAGAGATTGCTATGAAGGTAAATAGTTATATTAATTATTGTTCCAATCTATGCATTTGACTCCTGGCTGAGCCAGATAGCATCAGAGATTGCTATGAAGGTAAATGTGTAGTTCCAGAAAATATCTATAACTCACGCACGGAGGAAATTGGAAATTCTGGAGGGGAGGGGGGTCAAAGAAAGAACAAAATTACAGAGTTCGTATGGAGAAGAAAATTGGAAGTTGCTGAGGGTAGGGGGGTCCTTTTACAAATTCCCTACGTGGTGGGCGTATGGATATTTTCTGGAACTACACAATACATTATAGATTATGTTAGAATGCTAAGATTCATATATTTGATACACTGCAGATATATAGTACAGCAATTAAGTGTGGGAACAAAAGGACACAAAGCCCCCCACAAATGTCTTACACCTCATATATTTCCAATTCCATTTTTTGTTAAGCTCCATTTTTATGTAGGAGATTTTTGTGATATATATTAAGTATACTGATTGATTTGAAAATTTTATAAGAGCTAATCTAATCTAGGCATATATAATGACTATCCCTCATTGTCTTGGATTCTTTAATTGCAGCATTTGTGATCTACAACTTCTTGAGTCTGTGTTATGAGTATCTCGGTGGAGAGATGGCTATCATGACTGAGATTAGAGGAAAACCAATTCAGTGAGTTTAAACATTATTACTGTGTTCATGTTTCTGTTACATCCGAAATGTTTTGACAGGTTTTGATCCATACCGATTGGCCTACAACTATATACAAAATACAATATCAACCAGATATTTCTTCCCTTTTATGAGGGGCACTGAAAACGTCTCAGAAAGTCGGCCACGTGCAAAAACTATGTTAATTAATGGCTTAGTTGGCTGCACATGTTCCTTGAAAAATCATTTTGGGGTCCTTGAAAACTCCTTAAATAACTTCTTGAATTTCAAGTCGGGATTGAACCTCAGCACAAACTTTGAACAGTTAGCCAAGCAAGGGCGGATCCAGGGGGAGGGTCGGGGGGTCGCGACCCCCCTGTCATTCCTGAGGTCAAATGGGCTTCCTGTGGTAAAAATGCGACTGGGATTCCTTTGCCCACAAAATTTACCCCTGAGACCCCCCCTTCAAAACATTCTGGATCTGCCCTTGCCAAGGGTTGGCTGATCATTGGTCATGCATCAGCCAATAGCAAGACTTGAAAAAACCCTGTAAAAAGTTTCCATTTTTCCTTTTGCTTGGTGTTCTGCATCGTTGCAAACACTTCACACAGGTACATGATTACCAACCTTTCCACCACGTTTTTACCTCACGTTTTTACCTCCCACGCAACTAAAAAAAATGAAATTAGTTTACTACAATTTCCATAAACATGCAAACTCTGTGTCTCTGAGTTGCACGCTGAAATTTGGTTTTTCGCTGCTGCCAGTCAAAAATGTGAAAGGTACCGACTGATTACGTTTGATTGACGGCAGCGAAAAACCAAATTTCATCATGCAGCTCACATACACAGAGTTCACATTTATGAAAATTGCAGTAATGGGATCCAATACTTAGGTCAAGCATAGTCACCTTTGATCCCTTTTCGGTAAGTAACCTGGTGAAGTCTAAGGCCAGAAACAATATCTCTTTGTACCTAAAGAAAACATTTTTTTAAGAATGAGGACATCAGTAATAATTATTCTCACAGCAAATCCAACAATAAGGAGGGATTGTGGGTCACAAATACACCTTATTCATGGTGAATTGTAATGCTTTTTCTCTAACTTAATCTTGATAACTCCCTTCCCCGTACTATTCAGTAATGCAATGTATTTCTGTTCTAGTTCAAGTTGGCTCTACTGTACCTGCTGCTTGGCTGGTAGCCAGTACACAATACTTTTTCTTAGATTTTGTAAGAGGGTGAGTACCAAAGATACAGTACCTTTTTTGTTCAGATTTGATGTGCTCTTGGAATTGCTCAGCAAACAGTAACTTTTGTTGTTCCTCCAGAGACTCCCTCTTGACCGATGTATAGAAATGTAAATTTAAACTTTACGCCGTGAAAAGACGAAGACAAAGGACTAATGTCCGAAACGTCAGTAAGTTTTTTCATCTTTTCACGGTGTATAATTTACCTTTTCATCATTACTGTTTCATTAGAAACACAGACACAGCTCACACTAGTTTTTAGCTAGTTATATCTTCTGATGTATAGGAAGATTAGTAGATCTAGATTGAATTGCCTAAATATGTTTCCAAATATGTAATATAAACAATGAAATAAATAAATCAACCTTATTTAGAGAGGGTGATGAATGACAGTCACAACTGATAAACTTGTGGCCTTCTATTTTTAGTCTCGAAATGAGACGCGGCCACTATTTTATTTTGTCATCCGAGCCAAGTGAAGATCAAACCATTTGCAAATATTTTTAGAGCAATGGTAGCACCTTGTACTCAGATACTTTAAGACCCTAAATGTTGATCCAGCCAAGGCTTCAGCCATGAACTCCTGCACAATAGTCTTGTGACCAACCATGTGAGCCATTCATGATTCACTATACTGCAGACAGTGGTACTTGGTTTGCATAAGTTGTGTTCAATTCACTGTTTTCCCTAGCTCACTATAAGTTTAATTCAATTTTTTTCAGGCAACATTACAGTACTGTGTGATTAAACCTATTATGGCTGTTATAACTCTTATTCTACAGCCACTTGGTTATTACTCTGATGGTGACTGGAGGTGAGAAATGCATCTGACATTCATCAATCCATGGATGCATCCATTCATCAATTCAAATTTTCATCCGTCGGTCCCTACCTCCATCCTTCGGTCCCTCACTCCATCCGTCGGTCCCTCACTCCATCTGTCGGCCCCTCCCTCCATCTTTCCATCCCTCCCTCACTCCCTCCATCCCTCCATCTGTCCGTCCTTCCCTCCATCCATCGGCCCTTACTCCATCCGTCCGTCCATCCATCTTGATTCCCTGTTTTTGGTCATCATTTTGTGAAATACTCTTCGACAAACCAATCAGAACGCTTGTAATAAAACCAATCAAAGCCTATTTTATATAACCGTGCAACTGCGCAGGGGGCCCAGAACAAGGAATCTTGTCGGAGTTAATGTTGCGCACCATGGCAGTCAGGCAGTCAGGCTATAGTCCTGCAGATCATAACAACTAATCTTCTATTTTATGCTTTATTTTCAGGGCTGACCGTGGCTATTTGTATATTGTTATTGTGTACAATATTAGTGTGACGCTGGCTCTRTATGCTTTATTCTTGTTCTACCAAGCGACTAAAGACCTCTTATCTCCATATTATCCTGTATTAAAGTTCTTCACTGTCAAGTCGGTTATTTTTCTTTCATTTTGGCAAGGTAAGGCCCTTCTACAAAGATCACTAAGGAAATCATTATATAGATATTTATCTCACCGATGCGCACCTGGGTTCAAATTCGCGGACTCGGTGTCGTATGTGTAATAGAGCTGCTTGTTGGTTCCCTCCTGTGCTTCGAGGGTTTTTCTCAAGGTTCTCCGGTTTTCCTCCCTCCGCAAAAATCAACTTCTAATTAAATTCCAATTGGAATTTAAGCAGACGAAGAGCTACAATGTAGAAATGCTAGTGCTAAATTCCATTAATTAATTAATTATTTTTTGGAATGGGCGGAGTTTATACACTTTGAGGCAAAGCCAAATAGGTAGGATACTTTTTGGTTTGCAGTTATTGCGAGAAAAAATAGCTACAAAAGAAAGAAACAAAGGCAAATTTCTTTTCTCCTGTCACGGTTCACTGAGCATTATGCACGTAGCCTCACATTGAAACCCTCGTGCGTCGCAAGCGAAGCATATCTTGGAAGTGGACTATAGACTGTTTTCTCAAGGTTGTGTGCGCATCCAAATTTAAGGAACTTGACGGGCCACGATACCAGAGCACGAGTATTATCATGCATTGGTATGAATTTTTTTTCGATAAGAATTCATAAAATCGATTATTCTCCTCTTTAAACTTGACCGGCTTCTTAATTTTACTGAATTCTTCCAACATGGCGGCATGACGTCCTTTGCATTCATAGAACTGATGGACCTTATAATATTGAGAAGACAAAATGTGTAATAACTCACCATTCTTTTCCTGCAGGTGTTGTTCTTGCCGTGGCCGAGAAAGCAGGATTCATAAGGACCTACCACAATATTTCAGCTGGGACAATCGCGGCAGGCTATCAAAACTTTATCATCTGTATTGAAATGTTCTTCGCCGCAATCTGCCTTCGCTATGCTTTTCCTTATTCTATCTATCTTCGTCAAAGAAAGCTGGATGAAAGAGGCCAAGGAATTGCCTTGAAAAGTATCTCAAAGAATTTGAAACAGACTATGAATCCTAAAGACATCGTAGACGACGCTATTCACAATTTTTCACGATCCTACAAGCATTATGCTAACGCCCAGAACCCAAAGTCCTTTGGCGAGGACCATGTCGTCCACAATATGCCTACTTCTTATCAAAGCACGAACTTTGATGGTTTAGAGTCTCAAAATTCATTTGATGCGCATGCGTATCCAGAACCAGAACATTATGATTCCTTTGACTCTTTTCGACGTGGCATGCACGTGACTGTGATTGACGGTAGTCATAGCAACCACGGAAGTCATGGTAACCATGTTCATAAGAAGAAAGATACAGAAAAGGCGACCTTGTTATATTCTGATAGTGAATTTTAACCAGTTAATGCTTTGCAAGTATTTTTTTAATGCAAAAAAGGTTTTTAGTGTGGAAACGTCTAGCAAGAAGTACTCAGCCATGCTTTTAATTTAATTTGCTGAGAGTATTTTTCGATGAAAAGTATATTGCAGGTTTGTAACATTCCCAAGTTGGTAGTATTAGTATAGGAAATCGCACGATCTCGAGTACAATTTGGAAGGCGAGTGCAATTAAAGAACCTTCAAAACATTACGAGTGTCTATTAATTCCAAATTGTACGAGAAGATCGTGCGATTTTTGTTTATAGTTCACTCAACAAAATTTCAGTAAAACATGCGAAGCGACGCCGTTCATCTTTGTCTATTTGACGGCCGATTTTCAGTTCATCGCGCAACTGAAATGCATAAAAATGATTAGCTCTTATTAGTTTTTACGGCTTTTATATATATATATATATATATATAATTTTTTGCCGCTGTTGACATTGTTTTGGCCGTGTTTCCATAGCGACTTAATTCGGTACTCCTACGGAGTACAATTAACGCTATAATTGTACTCCTCTCGACCAATCAGGGTCGAGTAATTTTGTTGAGTGTACAATGAGTAGGGAAATACTACCGTTCGAGAAGAATTTTAGAATGCAAAATACCACTTTCATCAAATGCAAGAGGTATTTCTTATTCTTCGAGAACTAAGGTGGTATTTCCATTAATAATATATCTACATAAAATAAACGTTTCTGACGCCAGTAAAAAAAGAAAGAAAATTTAATTAATTGTGCCAATCCACCAATCGGAAGCAATTGTTTTATGTAGACGTGATATTAACCAAGGAAGTTACTAATTCCGAGTGGTTAAAAACCGCCAACATGACTACCATTGGTAATAGACCCCTTGCAGCACGTCAGAATGCAGCTCAATCTGGGGGGAAAAACAATAGGTTCCAATTCTCAGGAGATTAGAATTCTCTTTGTTTTGGCTCCCCAGATCGAGCTGCTTTGACGTCACATGCAAGGTGTCTATATTCCGTACTAGGTTAGGATAGGGAAAAACTTTGCCTGATGTCTTGAATATACGTGGGTAGAGAGGCTATTAGGCCGAGCTACATGAACCGAGTTTAGAAAGATGAATAACATATATATATTCCCCCCTGCATTTCTGCAGTAGAGCTAATCCACTGTTTTCCGATTTCAGAGCACGTGTCATTACCTAGAGTATTATTTCTTTGTTTAACGGTTGCACATGAGAAGACACATGAATATGGATACGACTCGAACAGAGAATCTTATTCTCAAGAGAATGACACGTGGTTTGAAAGGGGCAAAACATTACGTCCAATTTGTTCCATTGTTTGTTGTTTGTCAATTCGTTGTATATCTCAGGATTGGATACCGCACCGTAGTGTGAGGTAGAAAATACCTTCCGCTCCAACAGCAAATCAGAACGCAGGATTCTTAGAATAATGGAATTAAAAAAAGGTTTAATTGCCCTATAACACTATTACGTCATAGCATGTTTACATCTTTTCCTTCGAAAGTTTGGTTTCGAATTATCTAAGTTTCCATATTTTTTCTATATTGTGTGTCAATATTTACCTTTCGATGTTTTAAAATGATATTTTCTTATTATCGTAATGTTTTCTTTCTGTCCCCCTCTAGCGACCATAATCCCTATCGTTAAAACAATAGACTGTTTTGTGTTACGTAATAGTGTTATAGGGCAATTTAACACAGTAAAAAGTAGATTTCATAATGTTGATTATAAGCGAGCTGGAAATCCGAACATATGGATTGTAAATATTGGTTATATTATCCCAGAATGTACATATTTTCTAGCATTAGTACGCCATAATGTACTGAATGATGCTGTATATATCGAAAACCAATAATTATTTTAAAGCTAAATATTAATATCATTGCGTGACATTCGTTCTTCTTAACCCACCAGAAGTATAAAAAATAAAACTATTTTAAAAGTTGATGCATTTTTTTTTTGTTTGTCAATGTGTATTAGCTCCTAGGTCACAGAAAGAGCGTGGAACACCTAGCGTAGCCCATTGGTGCATACTTTTAGTATTACTAGATATTAGATAAGACAAGTGTATTAGGCCTCGTCCGCAGGCTATTCCATATTTATTCTCCAGGAAGTAATTGGGATAACTGTGTTGAAATTTATGGCAGAAAAGGCCACTCGGCCCCAGAGCCCTGTCATTTTCACTGCGCATGCTCGACGAAATGGCATTTGGGATGGCATGGGAAGCATGGGTGGCATAGCGGTGAGAGCGTTTGCCTCATGAATTCGATCTCGGCATGGACTCGTCGTATGTAAGTAGAGTTTGTTGGTGCTCTCCTGTGCTTCGAGGGTTTTCTCCGGCTTTCCTCCCTCCGCAAAAATCAACTTCTAAATTCTGATTCGATCTACAAAGGTCCTGGATGAAGATTACTCTGTGTAATTCTAGTTACTCTACCAAATCGTGTAGAATGGCATGGCTCAGGGATCGAAAAAAAGAGAAGACAGGAAGCCCGAGAGTCAAAGGACATGCGTTTTATATATTTCCTTCAAAAGGTCAGGCCAGGTAAAACATCTTTCACGAGTGTTTCCTAGTAGCAAGTGTTTACAGTTGACCATGTATAGTTTAATTTCGCTTCGATAGAGCGTTTTCGCGTGACGTCACAGCGGCCATTATGGGGTACCAAAGCAATACTGAACTCTATTTTTATGCAAATACTGTACAGAAAGTTTCAAGCATATTCGTATGGAATATTTCTTCATCGTATGTTTGCACATGTTTCAAACACATTAGAAAAAATGACAAAATAACACTCGTCCATGGATGTCACTCACTCTAATGATAACTACTATACGAAGCTATGACCAACTTTTCTTGTTTATTTTCTTGACAATTTCCATGGCAACATCCCTACCTGTTATGAAGGCTCCTTGCATATAGCCATACCATTTCTCTGAAGTTGCTTCTCCGGCAAAGTACAAATGGCTGACGTTTTGTACCATGTCTTGAAAATCCCGCGTGGTTGTGCCGAGGACTGCTTCACTATACGCTCCTTGAGTAAATGGGTTTTGCGACCACCGATCGTAATATATACCTAAAAAATAAAAGATAAAAAAAGTCTACAAAACGAATTTTTCCTTTCAAGGTTACCTTCCAACGTCTAGTTTAAATGCTACCAGAGTGAAGTCATTTAACCTGTGAAATATATATGTCTAATACACATTAGTAGACTCCAATTCTAGTCCATTGTTTTCTTTTGTGTGCGCCATCTTGAAAGGTAGCCGTGCCTTTGCATCGAAGCGAGACGAACGGTGAGCTGGCAATGATAGAGACCTTTTTCAACTATTCGCATGTGTCTCTCATTGCAAGCTCACCATTCAGCTCGCTTCGATGCAAAGGCACGGCTACCTTTCAAGACGGTGCAGGGAACTATGAAAGGGACTAATGTCAAATATACACAAATAGACATCTCCCACTTGTCAAATTTACCCAGCCTTCAATAACGAAATAGTTTGGTGCTTTTTCTGGTATAAGTAACAATGCGTCTTAAGAGTTGTGGTTCCAAGGAGTCGTGTGCACAGTCGGGTACCACATTCATCCCAAGCGCCGCATGTGAGCTGAGTTGGCTGGCTCGTGTTTCTTCCTCGAAAACTCAACCCTTAATATAACGTAGAGCAAAACGGGTCGGCTAGGAATAAGTCACCATCGCATGGAAGACCCTTCATAGAAATTAAAAGAACTACTACAGCCATTCTCAATCACACGCGCCGCTTTAGCGATTGTTTATCAGTGTTGCATCGAAGAAGCTTTTGGCAGACGTCAATCAAAGCGTTTCCATGACATTCTATAGCCACGTGCCCTTATAGCTTTGTGTTTTCCGACAATGTTATGGAGACGCCTTGTGATTGACCTCCACCAAAACCTTCTTCGTCGCGACAGAAACAATCGCTAGAGGGCGCGTGTGTTTGAGAATAGCTGTAATTGTACCTACTTAATAATAATTTAACTAACAAACCTAAGGGTTCAGGGATTTCCGGCCAATATAATTTCCTTAGCACCACCATGATCTGGTCTTGTGTTTGGTATATGGATTGCCTTTCCACCCTTAATGCTTCCTGGCCGGTCACTGTGATGAGCAGAATACCGAGTCCTGCAGTACAATAAATTTGGAAGTTCTGGAATACAGGAAAGTAACCTCTTTGCGCAGACTCGTGTAAAATATACTCCTTTTCGTCCCAAAACTGATAAGGGAACTTGAGAAAAATCTTCGTATACAATGATAAGGGCATTTTAGCAAATGCATTCAGCTTCCATTTAGGTAAAGGCGGGTAAAATGCAACCAAGTTGCTTAGTATTACATCACTACTGAAGGTGCAGATCACATAGTCTGCCAGAAATGTCTTCCCGTTGGTGGTATAGACTCGAACGCCTTCATCATTGTATGTGATAGCATTAACGATTCTCCCCAGCTCGATTTTATTGATAAAGCCTTTATAAAGGGATTGAAATAAAGAGCTCAATCCATGGGGATCAGATACGAAAAAATCATTTTCCCGATTAACAAGGTGACAGAAAGACACAGTGTCTGGTTCTCTAGAACACGTGAAGTCGATGTAAAAATACTCGATGATATTTGCTAACACGGTGTTGTTCTCCCATCCATTGCGGGACAGTCGACTTCTAAACGACGAATGGATGTCTTCGTGACTCTTTTCGTTTGTTGCAGCTTGGAGAATACTTTGAAACTTGCTCATGATATCATTGTGTGGCTTGATGTGGCCATTGCTGCTCCTGTTGAAATCAAAACGAGATATGTAGTATTAGGTTCAAAGATGAGAATTTCAAATTTCACTTAAGCTTGAGAAACCTCGCTCAGGGCTGATCTAAGTGGGACAGGGCTGAGTTAGAGATTAAAGATTAATTAAGTGTTTTGGGTTTTTCAGAGAGAGTAAAACCAGAGAACCCATAGAAAAACCGTTGAATCAGGAGTCTTTGCAAAGATGTGATGTCGAGCGGCAGGAATCGTTCACGTTAACCCGAGATCCCAGAGGTAAGAGGCGGGTAGTGCACTACTGTAGTGCAGTGACACCTTTGAGCTTGAACCCTTGCTACCGTTTTACTTCTTGTGGGGGCTTCAAGTCCATTGATGATAGTGTGCAGGCCGTATGCTCAAGCCAAGGCCACCCTAACGGCAATTCAAAATTAAGACAAATAAGAAATTATCCAATCACTGTCGAGTATAGATCTGCGAATGGAAATAGGACACTTGCATTATCGCGTCATTTATTACCACTACCAGACTCCCTTGCACACTTTCTTTTGTTCAGTTAATTAGCACCAATAGACCTATCCCGAATTCGATTGACTGACCACGAAACAATGGTTTGAAGTCGAGACTAAACTTGATTCTTTTATTCATCAAGTTCAACCTCGATTTGAAACCATTGTTTCGTGACCAGTCAAGCGAATTCGGGATAGGTCTATTGTCTTACTATTTTCATGAAGAAATACAAATTTGAATAAGAAAGAAAATTCGCGAAGCATTTTGATATAGTGGTAGTAAAATAACGCTACCATTGAGATTCTTTAACGTGCGTACTGTAAGTTATTTTTTGTATGTCAAAACCTAGCATGTACTGACTTTAAGCCTATTATTTTTGGAGATAGGTTTCTCCTTTCAGTGAGATCGATTTGATGGACTTTAAACGTTTGACGATCCAGTGAAATTTGGCGACCGGCGCGTTCAACTAGAAATAGCAATACTTGCTGTATTGCTTTTACGTGTGGCAGTTATATCATCGCCGTTTTACTACCAAAGAAATCGAAATAGAAAGAAATCAGGCGTAAAGTCATTACACTTCAGTCTTGAATAACATGTTTTAGCAAATATAAAATATTATAGTTTTACCTTACAACAACATCAGAATAATTACTCCATTTGCCCTTCAAGTTCACTTGCTTTTTCAGCTTCAATAACGGTGCACTGTCACTATCATGTGCATGATGAATCCAGTTGGCGCCCGTTTCTATGACAACTCCTTTAAAGTTTATAGACTTAACTCTTCCACCAATGTAATCTTGGGCCTCAAGAACTACAAAGTCAGTTATATTGTGTTTTTCTAACGTCCAAGCTGCTGTAATGCCCGATATACCAGCTCCAAGAATTATGACTTTCGATCTGTGCACCTCGCAGTATACAATCAGTGTATTCACTAGAACAATTGTAGCAAGTGCTACCAAAATATTTTTCATTCTTATTATGTTAAAAAGCCAAATTAGTTTTTGTATATATATATATTTTTTTTCCCCATATATTTTTTAAAATATATTTTGCTGACGGCTTTACAAATTTATAAGGCTAAAGAATATTACTTTTCTGGAAGACTTGAATCGTAGCACAAGCATTGGCTTTCTTGTATTGCTTTAAACAATAATTAGTCTAGTCTGGTTTGTTAATGGTCTTTGTATTAATTCCATAATAATATCATCATTAGGAGTGTGAAAGCTAATATAATAAAATACAAATAATCCCCTTCCGAGGGGCCAGGATTAATACGGTGAATCTTTATATATACGTATTTCAAAAAATGCTGTCGGAGCCAATGGCAATAGTCAATGGCAATGGCGATAGACAATGGGAGATAGGTCGTTCCAAGATCCGAGAATAGCTTGAATGATTGGTGTTTCTTATTAATATTCTCATCAAGTACATGGAGCTTAGGGTTGAGATATGTTCTGAAATGTTGTTTGTAGTCGACGAAACCATTTTAAAGGCTTCGATTTTTTGTATTTAGTTGTATACCAATTATTCGTTTTTGTCTTGGACCCCAAACGTGGTACCCTGGGCTCCAGAGGTTCTATTCGCTTTTCCCGGAACATTGAACGAGCGAGCGCCGAATAACCTTGAAGACATCGCATGATATACGCGATTATCACTATTGTTTACTGACATATCAGGGCAAGGATTGCTGTGGACTCACACGGAGATCAGAGCCGAATAAGCGTGAGTCCACAGCAATCCTGAAACACTCGTTTTTACTGAGTCCTGTGGAAAAGTGGGACTGCTCGCAGTCTAAAGCATTGCTGGGTTTCAATCAGCTGGTAAAGTCTTTGAATCTCATTATGTCCTGCAAATGGTGACAAACACTGACCACCATGTGCTGTCAGCCAGAAAGAATGGCGGAAATGCCTGCAAACAAATTTCTTATAGTCGAGGACTTCGGGCAAGACAAAAGTCATAAAAGTTCATTTTCTCTTGATTTGGGCAAATCCAATGAAATGCATAGAAACTGACATTCAGCTATTGAGCTGATGAACACTTTGCATGAAACTGCAGGAAATGACGTCAGGTGTAGCCCAGCAACTGAGTACTTTGGGATTATATGTTGAGGAGTGAATATAAGAGCAAAGCAATAAACTGTTTTGTACAAGAAAATGGACAACTCAATTAATAGCTCTTCAAAAGATTATATTTCAGTAAGCTTCATCATTAAGCCTTAGAACATCATTATCAATTCTTCTTCTTTCTTCCTTCCTTCCTTCCTTC